TGTCATGGTGAATTGGTGATGGAGAGTAGCTCTTGTTGGAGAAGCAGGGCACGTGCAAGTTGCACTTCTATGTGGTATTTGAACTCAGCTCTGCACGTGCTCCCCTTCTCCACCATGAGTTCCTCACCTTTGTTTCTGGTGAATTGCAGATACGCTCAGAAAAGGTAAATTATACTTGTTATTCTTGCCATTTGTAATAATCTCTGGAAAAACAAGCTTCTTGTAACTTGTAACAACAGTTTACCGACCGAATTTCACTTTCAGTTCTCTTACAGTATAATACTACGTGCATGTTTAGCAACATCTTATACATGCATGAGATGATGAGTATTCATTAACATCTTAGCAAGTCAAGTTTGGTCGATAATTTCATGCCAGTAATCTATGCATACCAGTACTGCTGTTCTTTCTTGATGCTTGTAGCATGCTTAGCGTGGTACTAAATTTTCAGTTGCGAATGCAATGTCATGTAAATGGGTTTAAATATATCATGATCTTTTGTACTATTTCGATATTTAAAATTTAATTTCATTAGCCCTTGAATTATTTTGGATTCTAATATCTTGATCTTTTCTCGTTAGAAATTATTAGAGGTTAATTCAACCGCAATAGCTAAAACAGAATTAACGTTACTTTTAGGTTTCTTTTTACAACAAAGGACTGTGGATGAACATGAAATGACTGTGGGGGGAAACAAAAAGGCAAAGAGTGATGATTTGAACAAGAAAGGACTGCGGGGTTTGACCAATCTTAGCTTCTAGCATGATGCGATACAAATTGTACTTCGCATTGTTGACTTGTGGTCACCCTGCGTCACTTTATCTTTATTTCGTGGATGAGTGTGTGTGTGTATATATACACGCACACGCTTGGTTTGGAAGTGTCCAGTTAATGACAGAAGGGAAAGCAAAGATGGCGTAAGGGTTTATATAGAAACAGGCAAATGGCAGTGAAGATCGATCGATTTGTAAGCAAAGTGGCAGTGGCAGACTGGGGCAGTACCCTACAGAATTTGCCTTAAAAACCGGGGGACTCTTTATCCAACTTCAGTTTACATGATCTTAAGGGCTTGACAAGGTTAATTTTGATGGGGGAAATGGGTGTTGGAAATTGGAATAGGTAAGGGGGGCAACGAACCTTAAAATTCAAGCAATGGCGTAAGTATTTTGACAGTGATCAGCTAGAAAGGGAGGGTTGGAGGGAGAAAATAGAGGACAGTCCAACGAAATAAAATGATCTGTAATAGGGTTGTATTTGGACACGTGCTCATCCCCATTTTCGAGATTTTGATGACAGTAAGATGAACATTGAAGCTATACCTTTATTAATAATAAGTATCGGAAAAATCCGAATTCAAATTGTATTAGATTCAATTTACTTGTAAATTGTATTTATTTTATTGACATAATAATAAAATTTATCTTTCAATGTTTACTCGAATGATCACTTTGTTTCTATATATTTTTAGAACATTTTAGTTTAATATTTTATTTTGGAGTTAAATGTCTCATAGGGAATTTAAATCGTTAGTTAATTAATGATTAATGATTCTTACTGATGTGGCAAGTTTATGTGTGATATTATTTATCAAAAAATAATTTTAAATTATTTTTGTAAATCTATATACAAATAATTATAATTATAGTTTATTCTAAAAAATAATTTTTTGTTGAAATGACATCACATATGGTATGAAACATTGACAGTTAATCAACTAATAATTTTCAAAGAACATTTTGCTCTAAAATAAAACATTGGGACTAAAATGCTCCAAAAAAAAAAGATATGAGACAAAATGAGCATTTGTGCAAACGTTGATAATAATTTTGTTATTATGCCTATTCTATTAGGCTTAACAAACTATTTAATAAATACGTTAAATTTCAAATAAAAATCATCAACAAATTTTATGATACATTCAACTATTCTGGCAAAATAATAATGACTCTTTTAATATAAAATTAATAATATTGGAATTGAAAAAATAATTAAAAAATTCACGTAAACATCCCCGTTAATGAATGACGAGTGGCCAAAACAGAAAGTCATAAATAAAAATGTATGATAAATTACATGCGTTCTCACTGAACTTTATTCTCTCTTCTATTTCACTTATTAGTTTTGGTTTTGTTTAGTATTTAAATTTTTATTATCTTTTAAAATCATGCCTAACGTTTAGTTTTTATTTTATTTTAATATCTAATCGTTAAAAACTTAACGACAGTGCATTTTATGGATATATTAAATCCTTCATCACTCAACTATCTTCTCACTCATATTTTGGTATGAAAATTTTAAAAAATTTCAATTTAATTGCTCAACTTTCAAATTGCTTCTATTTTAATCACTCTAATTTATTTTATTAATATTTTTATGAGATGCCATTTTTATTATTACTTTATTAATATATAATTAAAATAAAAAATGAAAGTTAGAGTGATTAAATTAGGAGTAATTTAAAAGTTAAGTAATTAAATTTTAAAAACTAAACTTTAGTGACAAAAATAAGAGTGATAAGATAATTGAGTGATGAATGATACAATTTACCCATGAAAAAGCTATCACATGTAAATCACCCGTTAAGTTTTCAACGATGAAGAACTAAAATGATACAAAAACTAAATTGAGTGATAAGATATTTTTTTCTTCAATTAGAGTAAAGTGTAGGGAAAATTGTTATTTTTCATAATAATAGGATCTCCAAAATTGAATTGTCTATTTTTCTCTAGTGGTCTTTTCTAGGGATATGCATTCGATCCGAAATTTCGGATATCCAAAAATTTTGGATCATTAAAATTTCGGATATCCGAAATTTCGGATCGAATATCCGAAATTTCGGATCGAATATCCGGATATCTGATCCAAATTTTAACTTTAATTTGATAAAAAAAATTAGTTTTAGATTTAATATTTTAATACATATTAATGATAAATTTTCCAATTTTTGAGTGAAGCACCATTATTTTCTTTCATGATACAAGAAAAATGATTTTATGGATATATTTTAAATTTTGGAATTCTAATATTAAAGCATTTCATCTACTGTTTCACAATATTAAATAATGAATTAATTATAAACTTATATATAAAAGCGTAATGTAAGAGAATTCCATTTCAATATTAATTGGAGAGGGTTAGTTGTGGTGTGGGCTGAACTTGATTAAAATTTTAGCACAGGCTTTGGGGAGCTGGGTTGGGGTAGTATATTTGGGTTACCTGGTTAAACTTTTCCAAATGCACAATTTTTTTGGGTTTTCGGATAATCCGAAAGTCAATTTTAATCGATCCGTATCTGATTTTTTTCGGATATCTGATCTGAATTATTAAAATTGATCCATAATTATTTATATTTTTAGTAATTTGCAATTCAACGTTTACGAAAGGCGAAAAATAATTAATCTAAAATAAAAAATGACCCGACCTGAAGTTAATCCGTATCCGGTAAAAATCCGACCTGAATTTTATTTGTCATGATCTGACCCGATCTGAATGATATCCGACTGAAGTCTATCCGAACATAAATTAACATGGTTTTAACTGCTCTAGACCTGAGCTGATATCGATCCGAATTGAAATTAACCCGACCTGAATCTGATGTCAAATTAACCTGAAAATGACCCGAACTGATTTGGCATGAATCCAACCTAATCCGAGTCGAACCATCAAATTGACCTGACACGACCTGTATCCAATTTTACTTGATCTAACAGAATTCAACTTAAACCTGAAACGATTACCCGATTTTACATCCACACAACATGCCCTCACCTTTTCATATAAGTTATTATTTTGGGCAAATTTCAAATTGGTATTATCCCCTAGAGGATAGTGAGCTTCTTAACTTTATTTTAGATAGTGAGACGTGTATTAATGTATATAGGTTGTCTCTGTCATATGACTTATTAGTTCCATTCATTGTATCCGTATAATGACATATACATATCATAACTCTTTTAGTCATTTGGGTTTTCTATTGAAAAAAGGAAGTCATTAACAACAATATATTGATCTAATGTGATGAGGTATAAGAATCTTTAAATAATATTTAGGATTCGAATCTTAATGTTTATATATAGAATAAACAGGGTTAAAAGAGTCACTGTCATAATAGATCTATGTAAAACTCGATATTAATTAATTATTAATAAATCGAATGCCAATAACCAATTAAAAGGTTTCATTTCATTTGGACTTTAGTCTTATATTTTTTAAATACTATTATGGTAATGCATTTGTATTTTGTGTTTGACTAAATAATTTATTCATCTATAATTTTATTATAAGGGCGTAAATGAGACTCGTAGCTTTCAAAACAAGATTAAGTCGGAGACAATTCGCACCAATCTTTATAGATAAACTTCAATAACTGTCACAATCAATTTAGTCTTATCAACAAATATATGGTAAAATTATATATCATTATGAGATAAATAAAAAATATATAATAATATAAATAAACTGATTGATAATAAAAATATATATAATAATATAAATAAGATTTAAATTAAACTCATAATATTTACACATACTTTAAATGCTCAAAATTTCAGACATTTTTTTAAGGATAAATTATTAGTGTGTATATATATATATTATTACTAATTATTAGTGTACATTAAATATTAAAATAAAAGATGGATTAATTATTGTGATGATAAATACAATATTATATCATAAGGCGGCTGAGAGTCTAATCCTGTCTGCCTCGTAATTTTCTAGAAAACCCCTGACTATCTATAATCCAACTGGATAAGTAAAGGGTATCTTCGACTTTTCCTGGATCGTAAAAGCCGACCTAGTCACGTGACATGCCATGGGAGCCAATGATCTCCGAGTTTATTGGTCCTGCCAATCTTATCCGCAACTACGTGCTCCTCGATCCAGCTTCCACGTCACTATCGTTTTTCAGATCTAAATCTACGATCTCGATTTATCTTAACTCGTTCGACATTTAACCTTCATTTCGTCGTTAAATATGTTCGTCACCCCACTGTTCTCCCTCTCCTGGCTATTGAGTTTTTTACTGATCATTAGCATACGCCGATCCGTCAAAATACGACGATCTACGTTCGTTTTCCGATATGATGCGGCTGCTTGACCAGTTGTGGGACGATACCGTTGCCGGTCCCCCACCCGATAACGGCCTCGGCAAGCTCCGAAAGCACTCCACTTTCACTTTCCGGCCTAGCTCCGCCAAGGGTACGCTTAGGCCTTCCCTCCACCAATCGCGTTTAATATAACGCCGAAGGTGGCGGTGACACACTTTAACTATATATAAAACAATAATTCCTCACTTAAAGGAATCAATTGTCACTGAAAGTAATTCAAAGTGTTAAGTCGAAGCAAATATAATTTACAAACAAAACGAAGAACTGTTGCGAATGAATTTTTTTTTTCTGTATTATCATTATTCGCGTAACTTTTATTTGATTTGGCGCGGTCTAATGATCAGAACCTGATGGCGGGAGTGTGAGATCGTACGGTGATGAAACGCCGGAGGAAGCAACGAGAGTGACACGTAGTATCATGATCGTAAAGCCGCCTGGTTATCATACCGGATCGCCGCCGGTTTCGCCAGCCGGTTCAACTCCTCCGGTATCGCCTTTTTCCGGTAACATTTCTCTCTCTAACTTCCGAATTTGTCCTCATTCATTTCATATATCCCGAAACTGTCCCCCAATTGGAAGACAATCAAGTGTCTAGAAAAATGTTCATAAGTGGACTTTAGGAGGGTAGTTATGTCATTCGAGAGATTTGTAGCATGTTTCGTGAATGGATAATTAAAGCAAATGGTGCGTTACGGTGGAACGTTAGTTGGGATGCAAGCGAGTATTTTATTTGAGGGGTGTCAAATCACAAACTTGCCCTCAACATATGAACACTGTATAATCGATATCATATGGATTATTATTTGAAACACTGGTTTTTTCGTTAACAACTTGTGTCGGTATACGTGAATATTATAAAAGCTTAGGTAAATATATTGTTTTGGTCCATTTAGGTTACATATTCATGGTGTATTTATTATTAATATGTCTTCGGCCTTTCATTTCCTTTTTGGGGTACAATGCACAATAATGCAATGGTAGGTCAATATAACGATTTGAATTTATAAAATTTTAGTGTGTGAACTTATAAATTTTTTGGTATGAAAACATATAGATTTTTAATAGTAAATACAAAAAAAATTAAAATATATGATAATTTAAATTTTAGGTACCGCATCCACCCGCTCTCCCTAGGTCCATCTCTGATCATATATATATATAATGTGTGTGTTAAAATCATAGCCATGACGCAAGGTTTTATTTTGTGTAGCAAATGTATGCCTCAACTTTGCTTTTTGTATGATGTTTAGATGTTATTTTTACATAATTGATAAGACTTTGAATGCATGCTGCCTAAACTTAGTGAATTTAGGGTTTTCATGATTCCGTGGATTACACGGATGGTTAAGATTAAAGGTAGGAAGGTTAGCGTATAGCACATACGATCTTATTTTTTTGTATAAGTTGTAATCGTAAGTGTAAATGTAGATTCTTTGATTTGTTAATGTGGATGGGGTGTTGTTAGGAGGCAGAGAGTCTTTTCGATTTCGGAGAAGGTCAATATCGGACGCGTACGAGAAGGCTAACGAGGTTGGATCAAGGAGCCCTCGTCCTCCTTACGACGTGTGATATATGAGCCGTCTCTTCGTATTCTGCAACTAAACAGATGCCTTTGCAGCTTGTCAATTTTAGCTAGGGTTGTGTACCTTTCGCATGCGTAGTTCTCTTGAACGTGTATCTTACTGTACTATGTAAGAACCATGGTAATGTACTGTAAGATTGAAGTTTGCTGCTTCTGTATAAAGAGCTTGTCGTCATCTCCCATCTTTGTTGTCTTTGAACTTGTCGGAATAAGATTTCGTTGCCGGTTTCTGTTGCTCATGAATCTTCAATCTGTTTAGTGTGTCCGAGTGTGCAGCCTCCATAACAATGGACTTGGATTACGAATATATTTGCCGAAGGTAAGAGCAAATAGGGTTCTCAAGTAGTGGTGGGGCTCTACCAAACGATGGTAGTTTTGCCCATGCTAATTGCCAATTATTTAATAATATAAGCCCTTTTCAAGCAATTTATTTGACCTTTACCCTCCAAAATTTTATATTCTCACTTTGGCCCTTCTAATACCAATCCCGGGCTTCGTCCTTCAATTATTTAGTATTTAAAATTATAATGATGATTTATAATCATAATCTTAAATTAAACATGTAATAAGATACGTATTAATATAAAAAATTAGTTATTTAAAATTATACAATAATTTTATACAAAATATTAAAAAATTAATCTAATAGTTCGAACAAAATATAAATATAAATAAATTTAATTGTATTGGTAAATGTATTATAAAATAGGGTCAAATTATAAGAGATTATTAATAAATATAAAATAGGCATCTAAATTTAATTTAAATTTAAAGATACAAAGTGGGAAAGATGTACTAATTGTTCCTCTTATTTTTAATATTTTAAGTATTTTTATTTTTAATATATATTAAAAAGGTTCTATATTTATATGTTGACAACAAAAATGAGTGTCGAAGATTCGATAAATCATCCGTTTTAATTCATGAGAAGCTCCACTGGAAACCTCGGAGGCCCAAATTTTTTTTGTAAGAAAATATCCGAAAACCCAAACGTTAACCGAAAATTACTTTTTGTTTATTAACTAACATCACATAGGTTAATTATAAAAGTAAGGCACAAATCAATTTACTCGGTGGTTAAAGAAATCGTTGTTCTTAGAGGTCACGGGTTTGAGTACTAGTACCTGCAGCAGAGTGATTGAGCGTTTATTGTCAAATGGTTGAGAGTTGTCGACATCGTTTTTCGCCCGGAGAAAAATGGTGTACGACTTTGGGGTTTTTCTTTGAATTTGTTTTGAAATGTTTTGGAGTCGCCATCGACCTTTTGAGTTAGGTAGATCGAATACCTAAAAATTTTCTTTTAAAAGAGTTTTTAAGAAAATATTATTTTAAAAGATAAACAAGTTACGTGTAACCAGATATTCATTAATATTTTGTAATAAAAAAGGGTTCAGGGACCGATTACGTGCGAGGAAGGATAAACACCCCCACAACGTCCAAAATTGGTACCCCATCGATTATAAATTGTCTCTAATAGTGGAAATCAAATAATTCGAATACAAATTTAAGTTACGATCCTATTATTCTAAATCCAACCATGCAATTTTAATTGAACGAAAAATTCTAAGGAGGAATATAAAATATTCAAATATTTCCAATCGAAGAGAAAATAATCCCTAAAATACTTTAGAATGAATATTTCTCTTTCCAACTGAAATACAAGGAATATAATAATTTCTCCCAATAATTCGAGATTAAAATAATTTGATTCGACCAAATAAAAATAAATTAATCCAAATTAAATATTTAATTCGAAAAGATAAGGGATATTCAATTATTTAAAAATATCGAGACATGATCCCTAATAAAATTAGGCGAATTGTCTCGATAAGTTTAAATAAAAGAACATTTTCTTTTCCCTTTAATTTTGATTAAATTAAGCAGACTCTATTTCTTGTTTATTCTTAGGATATTTATTTATTTTAAAATATCAATATAAGACATCTAGTTACTTTAAGACGGTCATTTTTTAATATTTTAAAATAAATAAATACTATCATTAATCCAATTATGAAATTAGTTGAGTTATGCTTATGAGGCTTTCGTATATATTCGAAATGTCTGGATCCATATGCACAAACAAATTTGCAAGGAAAAAATAAAATTAAAAATACCAATTAAGAATAAATAAATGAAAATTAAATGCAATTAAATGCTGGAAGTAAAACTTTGACTAATTAACAAGTGAATACTTAAAATATAAATAGTATGAATCATAAATAATAACAAATATAATAATGTGCTAACTAGGGCCAAAATCGTAAGATATAAAAAACTAAGCTCAAAATAAGAAACTTGAAAATATACGAGTAAATGTTGAAAATTACTATTAAATACAAAGACATTTAAATAAATACATACATATGGTACATACAATAAAATACATGAGAATATGAAGCATACACATATATTAAAATACAAGGACCAAAATGCAACAAATAAGAAAAGAAGTACCAAATCAGGAATAAATAGTGACTAAAATAAAATAACAGATAATCAAGTGTCAAAATTAGAAATAAATAAAACATGAAATATGACATATCAGTAACTAAATTGAAATTAATAAAACTAAAGTGCTAAAAATAAAATAAATAAAAACGTAGGGACATAAGGACTAAAATGTAAATCACGCCTAAAAGTATAGGGACTAAATGGAAATTAAACCAAAATACATAACATGCATAAGAAATGGGTAAACTACAAAAACGATCTCTGCAGGTGACCATTTTACAAAACACTCCAAACTTAGGGGGATTTAAAGTGTAATTTCCCCTAAAGTTTTCCTATAAATACTAATATTTTTTTTTTTAATTAGTTTTAAAAATTTTAGAGAGAGGGTCTCCCCTCTCTCTAGAATTTGGCAGTTCGTCGGTGGCTTAACCCGCTGCGTCGCTGTCGATGGCCGACGGTCACCAAATTACATCGGGAGGTTGTCTCGGCCTTTCGTCTCATATTCGAGGTTTGTTTTATGAGAGGAGGTGCTGTTCGTCGTGAAATAGCCGAAGATCGTTCGACTTTCTCCTCTTCGATCAGTCGCCGTTCGCCGTCTGATCGTCGTGAATCTTCAGTATGTTATTCTACGTCGTATTTTTTTACTTTTCAACGGTTGATCCTCAAACTGAAGCTCCGAGTATCGTGAACGTCGTCGGCCGAATGGGTAAGAATCAATTCTCTCTTATTTTTTCTTTGTTTCGAAATAGTAAAAAAATAAAACAGAAATTGGTTTGAACCCTTTTTTATTGTTACTTGTCCCCTTTACATTGTTATTTGATGTGGTTATATACCCTTATAGAAAAATCAAAAACCAAAAATTTTGCCTCCTTTCTCTTGATGTATTCGATGATGGATGCTACAATGGAGTTGATGGTGGCAGGGCATGGGCCTACAGTTGTGTTGGTGGTAGCAGGGGTGAGGCAGAAGCATGTCATGGCATGCTGTAGGTTTGGTAAAAAAATTGGTGCGTACAGCTGCCCCTCTTTGCTCGTTACTGTGGAACATGAATGGAGAAAAGACATAAAACACCAATTTTTATCGATTCGACCCATCAGTGAAACTTCGAGCTCCAAGTGTTTTTATCATACAAGTTTTTATCATTATGAACTCTTCGCTGGGGATGTCAATCCACTATCTTCTGCGATGTTTGACCCAAAGTGATGATGTTCCAACTCCTTATGCGATGGAAACAAGCTAAGGTTAAACAAGTTCTTCTCATTATGAACTTCTTCTCCCTCATCGGATGAGTTATTCTCATTATAAACTCTCCACTTGAAATGTTGATCCCTCGAGTGAGGTGTTACTGATTCAACTCCATATACGATGAATCGAGCTAAGGTTGAACAAGTTCTTCTCATTATGAACTTTTTCTCCCTTATTTGATGAGTTCTTTTCATTATGAACTCTCAATTTGGAATGTTGATCCCTCAAGCAAGAAGTCACTGATTCGAAATGCCATGAATCGAGTGATAAGCCGAACAAGCTCTTCTCATTATGAACTTCTTCTCCCTCTGTCGGATGAGTTCTTATTATGAACTCTCTATTTGAAATGTCAATCCCTCAAGTGAGGTGTCACTGATTCTAAATGTCGTGAATCGAGTGATAGGTCGAACAAACTCTTCTCATTATGAACTTCTTCTCCCTCTGTCGAATGAGTTCTTCTCATTATGAACTCTCCATTGGAAATGTTGATTGATTTACCTCTCTTTGAACAGTTTTAAGCCTACAAAAGATTATCACGTATCAGTAATAATGGTGTTTGAAGTATATAAAGGTATTGACCCAAAGGTCCTCGAATTTTGTTGAGATCCATTTCTTTCAAAAATGAAGACATAAATTGAGTCTTTGCTGAAATCTTCTTCTTCAACATGGAATTGTGAAATGAAACCTCTGCTAACTTTGGAATCCTGTTAAATATTTAACATCTGGATGAAAATGAATAAGAAACTTGTTTTAAGAGAAGCTATCTCGAGTGAGATAAATTTTGTTTCGAAGGGAAACTATATTCAGTGAGACAAAGTTGGATTTAGGCAAAACCATCTCAAGTGAGATAGATTTTGTTTCGAGGGAAAACTGTCTCAAGAGAGACGAAGTTGGTTTTAAGAAAAACCATCTCGAGTAAGATAAAATTTATTGTTTCAAAGGAAACTGTCTCTAGTGAGACAAAATTCGTTTAAAGGGAAATATATTTAAAGATTTTGTTTCAAGGGAAACTATCTCAAGGGAGACAAAACTTGTTTCAAAGGAAATAAATCTCAAATATTGGTGTTTCAAGAGAAACTGTCTCAAGGGAGACAAAACTTGTTTCAAGGGAAACTGTCTCAAGAGAGACAAATTTTTTAAGGGAAACTGTTTTAAGAGAGACAAAATTTGTTTCAAGGGAAACGATCTCAAAGATTCGTGTTTCAAGAGAAACTGTCTCTAGGGAGACAAAACTTGTTTCAAGGGAAACTGTCTCAAGAGAGACAAAATTTGTTTCAGGGAAACTGTCTCAAGGGAGATGAAATTTGTTTCAAGGGAAACATATTCAAAGATTTTGTTTCAACATGAACTGTCTCAAGGGAGACAAAACTTGTTTCATGGGAAACTGTCTCAAGAGAGACAAAATTTGTTTTAAGGGAAACTGTCTCAAGAGATACAAATTTCGTTTCAAGGGATACGATCTCAAAGATTTGTGTTTGAAGAGAAA